GGTTTCACTTGGAATTCCTTTCAAGGCACATACTAAGTGCTGCTGGCAGGTTCACAGGTGACAGCCTTGGAGCATTTGTCTTACTCGATGCCATAATCAATCCATGAAATTTAGATTAGCTTTAGTTTCATTCTGGACTCTTTCATAGCTGGAACCTTGACGGACTGCATGCTACAATCCAGGTACGGCATGCAGTGGACCGGTGACACTCAAGAAATCCTGCATACACTTCCTTAATCTTAGATGCCATAGTTCTTCCATTTTGTTGTAAGTACAGATTTACAACGATTACTACTGCGCTTGACATTGAGCATCTAACAGCGACTCACTGCCAACACAAAGCGTTGACTACAGATGTTTATGCTATTAGACCTCATTTAAGTGAGCGAGGACAAGAGCTTGCCACAAGGCTGAAGTTTGAGAAGAGGCTTCTTCTCTGTGAGGGCGCCCTTAGGTCCAGTCTGCTGGGCTCTCTTACTGACGATGGTGACAATGAAATCTTCCAATGTGACTGGAAGGCACAGGAGCAGACCAATATTTTCAAGCTGCTCGGGCTGGGTGAGTCACGGGACTGTGTTGACCAGGTCCACATTGCCGGCGGCCACATCATGACTCTGTACTCGTCATCACAGAACTTTGTTACCTGCTTCTATCTGTTATTCTGACATGTATGCTAGCTATTTACCGCCGTCAAGGGTTGCAGTCCGATGCTGCTGCAAGATAACTAACGTAATGTTTTATTGTTCTTTGCCCCTCTATTTGTTTTCAATGCAGATGTATTTTAGCTCTTGAGTGTCGAGGAGGCAGAGCAGTGTCTTGAAGCTGTTTCAAGCAGCAGCCGGACCCCATGACCAATGGATGTCGAGCACTGGACCAAATCACCTAGCAGCAAATCAGAAAGTGAGCTCCTGTCAAAGTTTGTGTTGGTTTCATGTCAGGGTTACAAATAGGCTGGTTGGGTGCTCAGCAAGAATTGCATGGTTTTGCGACATCGTGTTAATTGTGTGCTTCAGTATAGCAACCTGTCCATTTTTACTCCGCCAAGCCTATATGTCTATAACTAACTGACTGACACATGTCCCGCTGCTGTTGCAGTCAACCACCTTGGACATGGTGAAGCAGTGGGCGACAGATGTGGGCGGTGGAGATTGCAACAGCCATGATGACAGCAAAGGCCGCCTCAAAGCACAGCCGTTCTGCACCTGATGTCGTCTTGACTGAAGCGGATCATGGAAACAAAGGCGAAGGGGAAGGGGGGCAAGAAACGACGGTGGTTATGGATGCACGTTTATTTTGGGATGAATGCACATGCAATGTGATGGACAGCTGCAATGTCTTGTTTTGTGGAGGTGCCTTTTTTTAGGGCTGAAGGCGTGTTCTTATCACATGGTGGA